TACTATATATAACATATAAACACATAGATTTTATACATCATAATATATAGGCCTAATATGATATTATATATATCATGATAAAGTAAGTGCAAACGATGCTATTGATTTGATGTATATCGTTAAAAATTAAATTTTTACCTTAATTCAGGCCCAAAGTCGAAGTATTCTCAAGAATGACAACATCACCAAATCACAACAAAATAAAAATAGAGCCACGGTGTTTGTGAATGCACTAGATTTATTATATCAGCTACCATGGTTGACTGACGTTTGTCACCGATTGTCGCAGCCCACATAAGTATTTCAAACATGTCGGAGGATTCGCAAACTTGTTTTACATTGTTTGTTTTCAATAGACTAAGAATTGTATTGTAAAACTATTAAAGTTGTACTATTGCTGATTGTGCAGGCTTAGTTTTATGCAAATCAGGTGTGGTTAGTATTGACGCATTTTCACGCCTACAATAACACGGAACATACGGTATCTACAGTTGGCGGTACCGGTGGCCGTTCAGTTCATAGAGAAATATGTTCCAATTTTGTGACGTGAGGAAATACCTCTCACTATATTGACTGGCCACGGGCACCTTCGGGCTCTACAACATACGCGGGTGACCTCAGTTGGGAGTCCAGGGCAAATTTACCCAATGGGAGTGACGATGAGGAAGTTCCAAAGCATTCACTATAGGTGTTTAAACATCATAATCCCGTGATTACGTATGATTTCGACAACATAAGAGACATGTTTAGCAAATATACCACCACTAACAAATTACTGGGTACAGATAACTCCCTTTATATGGGTTTGAATGGCTTTGGATATTCGTCTCTAATCTGGCCCCTTTACATCTGTCCGTGGTTTGATTGTATCTGTGATATACCAAATATGCCCGATACGATATTTACATCACCGATCCTATTTCAACACCGTAACTATTATGTCGTTATATAAACACAGTGCTAGCAGCAGCAATGATTCCGAAGTTACTTTCATCATAATACCAACTGCGATGTCTGAAGTAAGCTTTACTTTACCTCTCAGCCACTTGAGATGCTTTACCAGATGCTTTGCCAGATACAATCTTTAAATCATTGTTCATTTATTCGAGAACTGTTTTTATTATTAGTTATATTTATAATAACACAGTTGTATATATAAATGTATAAATCCAGATGACACGGAACAAGGGGTGTTGCGTTATGGAGAGTAATGTGTGACTGGAAATGTCTGCCAATTGGTTGTTACCATGCGCCAGTGATGTTGGAGTACAGCAAGATGAAACTATTTATGTAATGCATAGATAAAGTTCGGGGTTTGTCGGGTAGTAAAATGATTATTGTACATTTAAAGTGCTCCCTCCATGCATAAATGTAAGCTAAATTACGGTGAATAATGAGCGAAGATATGGTGACAACTATTACGAAGTTCCCTCTTTTCAAGAGGGGATGCAAATGCTTTGTGAAAATGAGTACGCGGCGGCCCGCGGTACTCATTTTCACAAAGGAATACACTCAGCTGGTTAGCTAACAATAGGCCTATGCAAATTTACATGAACACCTGGTAAGAAAGGCGCAATCACGTTCTGTTGCCTAGCAAACGTCTGTACTGTAGCGTGTGGGGGGTGGGGCTAGCCTACTGTACTGATGTACTGTGTATAGCAGGGGACGATGAAGCATAATATGACTAGGCCTAGGCCTAAGTAGACAGTACAATTTTATGTGATAGAAAGTACACTTTCGAAAGAAATAAATTAAAATTAAATAAAAATTACCTAGGGCCTAAGAATAATTCGGTTGCAGACGTACCTTAATTGTTTAAGTATTATATGCTAACTATGCAGCTCGTGTAGCCATAGCTAGACGAGGTACTCATGTGCAAAGCAGTGGTGTTTGTTTATCCATGAAAAAAGCACGCCGGGAAAGTTTGCTTTACCAGGAAAGGTGACGTAATCTAGCTTATGACGTATACATGCTAACTTTAGCGTGAGTGTGACGTCACCAAAAAATAAAAATTTTCTATTATAACAAAAATATTAATAACTACAAGGTTTGTGGGCGTAAATTCACTTAATACAAATTAAGGGTAGCACCATCTACTTGCTATACAAATTACAGCTCCCATTGACGTCTCAATCGAGAAATACGGGTAGCTGAAGTTTTTCTCGAAAATCTGACTACAAAACCAAATCGAAATTCACGTTCCACTTCTGAGTCTGAGTTGCTTCGCACACGCCGCTGAGGGCGGCATTCCGGGAACCCTGCGTCAAGTAGATAATAATATAGTTCTCAAATACATAGGAACATAAAAATATGTTCCTATCTTACTGCTAACAGCTGATTGTGAAACTTTAAAATTCGGATGCACGATCATGCCATGATAGTTAATATAAAAACTAATGGTTCGAATATTACTAGTTGCGTACACTAATGCGACAGACATTGAGATCATTTAGCAAATATAGAAACGATATAAAATTCAATGTATATATAAAATGTAAGAGAGTACAAAGATATATATATATATATACATATATATATAAATATATATATGTGTATATATATGTAAATATGTATATATGCTGTCTCTTATACACATCTAGATGTGTATAAGAGACAGGTCTGTAAGTGATGTTCATCGTGCCTTTAAACAATACTGCGATATTAACAAAATAGAAATAAATAAATTAAAAACTAAAGCTATGGTGTTTCGAAATGGAGCAGTGTTATGAAGAGATGATAAATGGTATGATGATAAATGGTATAATGATAAGGTTAAGCTTGAATTCGTTAAAGAATATAAATATCTATGTTTTAATTTTAATTTTTAATGGAAAATGGAGCATCATGTCGAAACGGCAGGCAGGAAAGTAGAAACGAGTATAATTGTTTAACGTAAGAAATAAAATGTCAAACTTAAGGTTTACATCTGCAGAAATAAAATTACAACTATTTGAAAGACAAGTAATTCTAATATTATTGTACTGGCCTGAACTTTGGGGATATAAAGACTGCAGACATATAGAATTTGTTTGAATGTCCAACAACCATGTCCAAATGAAGGTGTGATAAATAAATGAATTGCGTAATTTTTAAAAATAGCTTTTAACTATTTTTCACAAAGAATTTTAGATGTCGAAATTCAAAAATGAAATCTTATAACAATGTTATTAAGCCCAAAAATATACGTGAAAAAAATGTTTATAATTTATTTTCGAGATACAGAACAATAATTTCACGTTTTAGGTTATCTTGCCATAATTTTTCTATTGACATGGGACGACATATGGACGTTGATAGGGAAAATAGAATCTATTTTTTTTGCGACTCTTTAACTTAAAAGATGAAATTAATTTTCTATTTGTCTCTCCATTTTATAAACACATTAGAAAGAAATATAAACCTAAATTGAATGTATATTCCTTAAAAAATATATTTGTTAATAGAAATGTTGATAAAATTAAGTATTTAGCAATGTATTTAGAAATTAAAAATCATTTGAAAAAAGGAACGTCTGTGTGTCCGATGATTTTGATTTTATTTTGTGAAATGGGCCGGAAACCATTTTGAACTGAAATAAAAGAAAAATTATTTTGGATTTAACTTGCTCATTTTCCAGTAACATATAAGTTAATAACACCATGGAAATTAGTGGATGGAAAATGTGTACCCTAGTTAATTTGATAATTATATTAAAAATAATAAAACACTTCGTGTGCCTAAAAGTGTTTCTATAATTTTTCGCTGTAAATTTATGGGTTAACAATTTTATATATACATAGTAATATTCAAAGTGTTTGCAAATACACAGGTCATTAAACGGGCGTCGATAGTTTTTCATTATCCTCTCTGCCACACTCGCATAATGTACACAGTGTTGCTAGTATAATCAGAATCTAGAAGTAATAGAAAAGAGAAACGTGAACAATTTTGATATAAAAGATTTATTAAAGTCTCACAAGCTGTAGAAATTATTTGTTTTCTCTCCGACGATTAATGGCTTTTTCTCCCCGACGGTGGAAAGTGGATTCACCTCTCTCACCGGCACCACCCCTGTCTATATGATTGATGTACTTGATTTATGTATCAAATGGGTTTTAATAATAATAATAATAACAATAATAATAATAATAATAATAATAATAATAATAATAATAATAATAATAATAACTAGAGAGCACTCAGATAGTGCATGCCTCCACCCACATCATAATTCTGCTCAGTATAAATTTCCGACGCATATTGTCCTCATAAAAAATGATGAAAAAAAAAAAACAGGGGCAAAAACATACCCTAATGCCAACTTCGTTGGCGGAGGTAATAATAATAATAATAATAATAATAATAATAATAATAATAATAATAATAATAACAATCATAACAATCATATATAATAAAAAATTGCCAATATGGAAAATATTTTTCCTCAAAGTCAGCAAAAGGCGGTTTTCATTGATAATACACTTTTTTATAACAACAAATTTTTTAACCACAGTGAGTCTGAAATTGCTCTAAAAATAATAACAAAGAAGAACAAGGCTGAGGTAAAATATATGATTCTTATCCTGCTTTTGATTCTGATTCAAATTCTGATTCCTTTAAAAAACTTGAAGTAAAGTATTAATGTTTATAAGTGTATAGGCCTATCAATATTATATATACTTCATTGATGGGAGAAACACAAAATACTCGGCTGGGCTTGTGCTGAAATTCATAATTCCCCTTAGTGTGTGTAAATATAAGTACAAACTAAGAACATTTTAAGCTTGGAAATGACCAAAAAAAGAAAAGAAAAAAAAACATTGGGCAAACTTTTAATGGTTCTTATAACATCTTATTCAATCAAGCATGTTCCTTACCATAACACCACTGTACACAAGAACTACAACGAACAACCCATTGATAAAATCCTTGATACCTCTGATGAAAACTTCCTCACATCCCTAAAAAACAAATACCTGTCACGAAAATTGCTTTATTGCAAATTCAGGTTCAGTAACTACATTATCGATTGTGTAAGATCCAATTTTGTTTCAGTTTGTAAATTAGCCACCACTGTAATTTCATCGACTTTATGGAGCATACATACCGTATTTAAAAGAGCCTAACTTGTCTTTATCCAGACAACAAAAGATTATGAATCGTCGTTCGTTCGTTAGTTATTCAATCATTAGTTTCGCTATCATTGTATATATGTTTTTAAATTTTCTTGTTTTTGTATTTTATCTGATTTGAGATTTTCCGAATAATTCCATTCATTCATTCATTAACACGTTGAATAAAAATTCTAGATAAAAACATTGGTTACAAAATATGGGAAAACGAAATTTTTGTTTTCAAAAGAGTGTTGAACTATTATTTTTTTTATAAATTATTAATAAATCACAATAACATATATCATTACTAAGAAAATTATTATTTGAATTATCATCATTAACATGATTATTTATAATAGTAAACAAGTACACCAATATGGGAAAAAGAGATAAAAAAATATACTTATTGAATTGCACAAATTAAACTTATAGAAATATAAACATTATTACGTTCACTTTTTATCGATTTAATTATTAAAATTATTATCATTACCATGTAAATATCATTATCATTTAAATGAAAAATGGAAAACAAAAAGCAATAGAAATGTATACTGTATGATTGTGCAGTATACGAATGTAAATTGCATATTATTTACATTGCCTGGGCAGAAAATATTGAATACATTAAAATGTGACATAAAAAAAAAACCACGGAGAAAAAAACAAAAGCAAAAGCAAAAAAATAAAACATCATTGATCACATCAACTCTGAGCTCATTCTGACATCACTCAAGTTTTCAGTATTGAGTCGTTTTTTCAATTTACTTACAGTAATTGATAGAAAAATACATGACTTTTGCATATATCATTACTTAGAAAATTATTATTTGAATTATTATCATTAACATGATTATTTATAATAGTAAACAAGTACACCAATATGGGAAAAAGAGATTAAAAAAATATACTTATTGAATTGCACAAATTAAACTTATAGAAATATAAACATTAATACGTTCACTTTTTATCGATTTAATTATTAAAATTATTATCATTACCATGTAAATATCATTATCATTTAAATGAAAAATGGAAAACAAAAAGCAATAGAAATGTATACTGTATGATTGTGCAGTATACGAATGTAAATTGCATATTATTTACATTGCCTGGGCAGAAAATATTGAATACATTAAAATGTGACATAAAAAAAACCATGCAGAACAAAAACAAAAGCAAACGCAAAAGCAAAAAACTAAAACATCATTGATGACATCAACTCCGAGCTCATTCTGACATCACTCAAGTTTTCAGTATTGAGTCGTTTTTCAATTTACTTACAGTAATTGATAGAAAAATACATGGCTTTTGAACGTTGGTCAACCGGTTTGAAATGTTGGATGTCGATCATATTTCTGTGCAAATTTAATAAACTCTATACGATCACATAATTTGTCTATATTCAAAACGATTTGATCACAATGGTCGTATTGATTTCCCAAAATAATCCCGAAGGCTCTTTTTTCTTTTAACCTTTTCAAGCATGTTACTCAGTTCAAAAGCATGACCAGCATTCCAAACAATGGCAGCGTATTCAAGAAGAGATCTTACATAGGTCTATCCCTTATAAGCAATAATTAACACTTCCCGGATAATAGTGAAAATAAAACGCTTCCCATTGGCTCTTTCAACCAAATCAAATATGTGTGTTCTATTTAAGATAATTAGTGATTTTTTCTTGTACTGGCACATTGTTGATGGTAGTATGTGGTATTAAAGTGGTGTTTTCATGAAGCATACTTGCATACACTTATTCTCATTAAGAAACATACCATTATTTAAAACTGTCCAATTTTCCAGGGTATTAACTAATTGTTGAGCATTAACTCTTGAGTTTCTACACTTCGAGTTCACAATCAGGGTAATTTAACATCGACATATTTAAGAACTATAGATTGTTGGTTTTTAAGATTAATTAAGGCATCATTGATCTGGACCATACAGCAAACAGGGCCTAGTTTCGTCCCTTGTGGGACACCCTATATTCAAAGTCTTTGGTTCAGATAAAGTACATTGCATCTGACAGATTTGCTTTGATTATTTAGGAAACCCCAAATCCAAGGTAGAGGGGAGGCATTACCATTAAGATCAATGAGTTTGTAATACATTATAATTTAAGAGGTCGTCTTTAGAGAAGTCTGTAACAACTACAGAGCTGTGTGCTTTAGCAATGTCAGAATGACAATTTAGATTGTTAATTAACTTAATTTGGCGATGAAAGGTGGGCATGGCACTTCTGTTTTCAAATTTGTTTTCGTCGATCTTGTCTTTAATGTTGTTACGATGCCAGTTCCATAGAACATGTTCTGCTGTTTTGGTAAAGTGATAAGCTAATTATATTGATCTAAGTTTGTTCCATGTGGCTTGTAAAGTTATGAGTATTTGTAAAACTACTCGACTTTCTTCCAATGGCTTGGGCTTTGTTCTCATTAAAAGAGGAATTAAGACCACAGGTAAATTCATGAACAATGCAGACGAAGGCCTATCGAGTCCAGATGCTTTAGTCTGGTTTATTCGTTTTTCAACCTTAAAGACTATTCTATAGCGGCTGCTTAGACGGTAGATGCGCCTGATAATATTTTAATACTTGAGTTGACTAGTTTATTTATTTGTATTCTATATTTATCTATTAGAAAATCAAACCCATTATTAAAAATGATGATGATGATGACGACGGCGGCTGGGGTGACAACGACAATAATACTAACTTACTAAACATGTCATCATTCGTGATCACTGCGCATAATATGCCTTATTATGGATTAGTTCTTAGGTTTTGTATTCAACTTATCAGACCTACAACACTGAGATCAATGTCACGCTAGACAAAGTAAAAAATCCGGCCATGCGCTGCGCTGCTGGTAGTGGGCGGACGCGCATGAAGAACGCAATGCGAGACGAAAAGGCGCGTGCAACGGATCATTTTAATGACAGTCCGTTCTGTCTTAGCAGATGGCATTGCTTTACAGTGCGCCCTGGTTTTTGTAAGTGATAGTTTTGATTACCTGTGTGTGGATGTCGTCAGTGCCAGGTAATGCCCTCTCCACACATCCAATGTACATATCTCGACAACAGGTGATTGGTATTGAACCAATAGCTTGCAGCCAGTCTTCTGTATTGTTGTCATTGTGGTAACCACAACATAATAACTACAATTTTAAGTTGAACAGATAATTACTATAAAATAATTCCTTATTTGATAGTTGTTAACTAAGCTAACTTAATAGCTTTCAATTAAAAATGAAATCAATAATGCGTATTTATGTTGCCAATTAACAGACAAATAAATAAATCGGTTTCTGTTATATGTTGCTAATCTGATCTGAAAAAATTAGATTTTAAAGGTTTCAGATTTTATGACAGGCAGTATAATATTCAAATTCCAATTAAATAATGCTGTATTTCTGTAAAATTGATTGATTGGTAATGCATCACATCCAAAAGAAAACGAATAACAGCAACCACTAGGATAAAAATATAATAATTATTGTTATAGGTTATGTATGGCGTTATCATTTGACATTCATTGTATCGTTTTATCTCCTTTAGTTGTATACCATGCTTATTTTCCATTACTGCGCGGTTTGTATAGATCTTTTGCGGGTTGTGTGGAAAATGGTTATACTGTATAAATTTTATTAACTTTTTTCATCATAACATTTAAGTTACCATTCCTTCTTTATTTATGCCGTGCATACAAATTGTAGGGCCTAAGCCTAATTCATATGACTAGAGCTGTCACTCGATAGAGTGCATATTTCCGCCCTGTTCCTGGTCGACTTTTTAAATTTCTGTGATTTTGACCATGTTCTTTGGTCTTACAGACAAACAACGATAAGTAGATTACCTAATTGGCGAAGGAAAATATACATACATTACTTTGCCAAGAATTCCAGGTGTCCGTCAATCGCTTCAAATCCGGATTTTCAACGTGACCAAAGTAACGCATGCTCATAATAGTCTCATCAGCGAATCCGGCAAGAAGTTCAGTTTTTCCAAATGAAAGAAGTACAAATGCTGCTACGAGAACCAGTAAAGATACGAACATCACAAGTGAATTGTACTGAAAAAAATAAATTGTCAGAAAAACTATATCTTCATTTATTTTTTTTGCATATACCAATATGTATACACGGAAACAATGACAGGAACAATTTTTTTAACATTACAGAGAATCGCATAATATAACAGAAATGAACGTAATTCATATATTTTTGTTTATTTCTGTCATATTGTACAATTCTATGTCATTTTTGACCTTATATATACACATATATATAAGGTATATATATATATATATATATATATATATATATATATATACACTCAAATAGGTACTTATACTATGCTGAAATATATAGGAATACGATATATATATATATATATATATATATATATATATAAATCAAGGTATCCGTTAACACTGTTAAATCATATATAAATCATCAAAGAAAGGTAAATACAGTGTTTGAATATATAATATATATATATACTTTACAGGGAATGCAGTATGGAATTCCATTTTAATTCAAAAATTGGTTTCGATGAATGATTAAAGTAACAAAACCGGGAAACATTATATCATATGATTTATGTATTGCCATCTCTTATTAAATTGTGTTAAACTTTGTTTTCTCTTGTAAACAAGTTTTTCCATTTTGTGGGAATAGTTGAACTCTATTTTGTTTAACTTCCTTAATTTTACAGGTAAAAATATAGAACTTAGTAATAAGTAGTATAAATAACATCTTATTCCCTCCACACTTCAAGTCAAATAGCATGGAAAATTTATTAAGGTCAGTATTGACCAATGTTTTTAAACATAACCAAATATCTCTAACATTATATACAAGCCTATAGTAGGAGCAAAATATTTCTGTACTACTCTTACAGAAAGTGCACAAAGATGAAATATCTTCAAACTTCGAAACCATTTCACTTGTTCCAAATATTCTGTGAATATTGTAATATTGGAAGTATTGTAACTTAGAATCAGAGGTACATTCAAAATGTATTTTATATAGCAAAAACCCAGTCGAAATTAACAGGGATTGCAGTATGTGAATTTCATTTTAATTTAGAGATTGGTTTCGATAAATGCTTATTTTCTAACATAGGGGCGTACTACATATGTGGTTTGGTGTTTTCTTTTTTGTCAGAAAAGAAGCAATATTTCAAAAAGTCAGTTCATAATGGTTTTCGTTTTCAATCTATTTGTCAACCATTTTGATACAAGTTTATAATTTATTTATAATCTACATTAATTGAGAAACCTCTAATTCCTTAAATTTGATAGATCGTTATGTGGTATTGGAAGTAAGGTAATTAAACCCCTTCGTTGGGAGTCAAAACATATGATAAAATATACATCTCTTTATAAAACTTACGAATTTCACCAAGAATTTGATTTTGTTTTATGATATTTCCATTTTTTGTAGTTATAGTCTTTTCATTAAAATTTCGTTTCTCGAAATCAGTGGTTCCCAACCTGGGTTCTGCACAAACTCATTTGGGGGTGGGGGCGTCAAGTCAAAGCGGCCCGCGAAAATTTTGGTGTTCCGCAACAAAATGTGGGGGTCCGCTAGATTATTAGAACACCTCTTTCATGATCTCATTTTTTCACAAATGTGTGATCATGCCTTGACAAAAATTAAATACATTTGACAGGCATGACTTCGTTCACTTTTTAACTGGCATTATATTTTTATTCCAATATTTTATTGGTGATCTGATAGATTATTTTTTATGTATTATTGATGTAAAGATATTTAGTATAGGAGAGCCACTTGATAGCGGCAATCCTCAAGTAATGTACATTTTGTTTCCACGTTTTCTCTTGTAAATTGCTTTTACCTGGATATTAAATGAATTTTGGAAAAAGTCAGGAGAGAGCCCTAAATTTAACAAAATTATGAGTAAATGAGGGACGACAAAATATTAAATTCAAGTTTTGAGTCTGACAGTGTCATTTTCGGCCATCTGGAAGTGCCATAAACATACAAATTTCTTACCTCAGCGTAACGTAAATCACCTATCTGTAAAATTTACTATCTGCACCCTCCTCCTTCCTGTTTATGTCCAATTCCAAGATCTAAGATGTCGTAATTTGGCTAATCTTATTGGTTGAATATCAACCACGAATCTTCCTAAATTTTACAAATTTAAGATTAAATGAGGGATGAAATTACCTTCAAATTCTGAATCTGATAGTGCCATTTGCGACCATCTAGAAGTGTCATAGACATAAAAAATGATGTTGGTAGTTTCTATTTCGAATTCCAGAATTCGCCACTGTTTAATGCTGTACTTTCATGGCAAATCATGTTCTATCTATAATATTATTGTTGGGATATGTTCTATCTATAATATTATTGTTGGGATATCTATTATTATTGTTGGGATACGGACAATGAGTAATATTTAAACAATTTAAACATGGTGGTCCGTAAAGACTTTTGACATGTCCAGAGGGGTCAGCAAACGCAAAAAAAAAAAAAAAAAAAAACCACCGCTCTAAATAAAACAATAAACTTTGTAGGTTTTTTGCTGTCATTGATCCAATTATTTTCTAGGATATATAGTTCTTTCTCATTATTTGTTTCTAATTTAGTTTTTTATTTGCTTTTCTAATTGTATACGTTATATATTAAACTTTTAAAAGCTCCCATTTCATACCAGGATTAAGGCTTTCGGATTTGTTTAAAGAAGCATGCATGTAACAATGAAATCATCGTCATTTAATAAAGGCACATTGAATTTCCACCATACTTTGTCCCCGACCGTTGAATGGTCATTTTCATGACCATGAGATATTCCAGTTTTTGAAACGGTATTGGAAATATGCTTGAGAAACAAATCTAATCTACATTGGATCCATTGTTCTCTACTGTTATTTTGTATTTGAATTATCTTTTTCGCCAAACATCAATCAAATTTAGTTTATTCATTATTTTTAAAATGGTTTTTATTTTGCCTGCTTGACAACCACCTTGTTTGTCTAAAATAGGATTGATCACGTAATTTAAGTCCCCCAAAAAATAATATTTTCAGAACTGAAATTATCAATTTGTGCTTTCAGTAATTTACCTTCTCTCTGCCAAGTGGAATTATCGGTGAGCTTTACAAATTTGTTGGTGTCACACTGAAGATGTTCATAATGCAAGTGTTTTGTGTTCCACACAAAAAATAAATGCGGATGAATTTTTCATGTTGATTTTGCGATAGGTCGTGAGAAGAAATATCGTAGGCGCCGAAAACATTAGCCTATCCAACGCTGCTGGCTAGGCCTATACTTACCTCGATTTAGGTTCTGTTATCACACATAAAAACGGCCGACATGATATTTTCCGTTGCTAGTATTGACACTTGTAAAATATAATATTTCATAGGAATTATTTCAACTTTGTTAAAAAACTGATTCTGACTGAGATTTTGACACTTAAACAAACATATCTCAGCCTAACCGAACGACCGCATTGTGCGAGATGCGAAGTACAAAAAGTAATCTTATTAGAGAGGGCGTTCGTTATTGACTGTATAAAGAATACATAAAAGCGAGAGTATTCCAGTGGATGCGATCTACAACCTCTGAATTTGCCTAGTAACGATGAATTCGTCGAGAAAATGGTAATATTTTATGAGAAATAGTCTGTATTTCTCATTTTTTTTTATTCTTTTGCGTAAAACTAAAATTCATGCCAATATTTGTCCATGATTTATAATAATTGGAGTAATGCAAATGCATATTTTCTAAAAAAGGTCATTTTTAGTGAAATTTTGCCGGGAATGGGGCTTTAAACATCTCTCTTAATTGACTAAGTGTTATTATTATATTATTAAGTTGACAGTAGGATGAACATTCGTTTCACTTACCTTTTCCTAAATCCTGTTCAATGATCTAACATTCAGCACAACTCTCTGAACCCACGTTGTGTCGTTGTTGTTTGTTTTGAAAAGCATGTGGCGGCCGCATCACTCTTTGGGCATCGGCCTAAAACACTACGCCATTAAAGTGGAATGATACAAAATTCCAGGCCTAGGCTTGGCCGGCTCTAGTTTGTTATAATATTATGGATTCGTAAAAAAAATTCTCTTCACTTCGGTATAATATTCTTGCAGTTTAATTATGGGTTCGACAACAATCATGAATATTAATATGTATGTGAATATTTATGATACGTTATGTTGTTAAAAAATAATTAAAAAAAAGTTAGTCCAATTGAGGGCGTAGTTTATTTAATATGGAAGGCCACATTCACATTTTTTAAACTCTCATGTATTTATAGTTCTTCTTCAGTTTTTTGTGAAACTTGTATGATTAAAAATACTCTGTAACAGTTACGTATTTATACTTTATCAAAATGCATTGCCATATTAGTAATTATTAGTGAACGTATCATTTGCTAATAAGTTTTGTAGAGACGAAAATGGCGTATCATGGTCTTGTGACATCACTTCTCGAGGTAAACAATCGATGGTTACAAGCGGCTAAAATCTGGTTATAAAAGTTTGCTTTTTTTCCTTAAATCCCACTTGTTGTTCGACGCAACATCAAGATATGATCTTTCCAATATATAAAGGACCTATGGTATGAGTTTCGTTGAGGTAGGAGGTCCGTAATTGGGCCGAATTTCCGTAGTAACTACGGACGTTCCGTAGTACTTGAGAACCCTGCACTTTCGATTCCACTCAGTGCATAGGACTTTGCGGTGAATTTCAATGACGTCATCTTTGTCTCAGCGTATCAACGTCCCAGTGTATCAGCGTCTCAGTGTATCAGTGTATCAGCGTTTATAAGACAACGAGCTAACACAAACACACCAAGAATGAAACACCCTATAGCACTCGCCTGAAGCAATCATAAATAAATAGAATGTTCTTATTTGTCCTAATAGTACATGTTAACGCAAATTCATCATCATCATCATCAGCAGCTGACAGCTTCATCATCATTATCATCACCATTTAGCATTATCATCTTACTCCTCCTCCTGATTATTACTCACCATCATCATCCTAATCATCAACAAAGTCATCAGCAATACCATCATCATCATCATTGTCGACGCCTTCATCATTGTCATTATTATTAACATTACCTCATCATCATTTTCAAAATTATTTTCACTATTAGCAATGATATATAAAATTTTATCATTAACTTGGTCATATATTGACAACTTATAGAGGTCTATGCATGTGGGTGTTGTTTTGTGCCAAGTACACTCTGTTTCGGCCGACATTATGCTGACCGCTGGCCATCAATCTCTTCTGCGTCGTCGTTTGCTGTCGTTCGTGGAAAGAACCTCTTAAAGACTGGTTTCCTTAAAATCGCTACAATCGTTGCGTACTGCGTAGCAGTCGCTGACGCAATCGGGAAGGCTTCTCAATTAGCCATTTTGAGCAAACCAGGCTTCACTAGCTAAATGATCCGTCGCATGACCCTTTTTGTGTTGCGTTCTATTGTAATCGATCGCCCGATCGTCGGCAGGCACAGCAAAGCTTATTGATTTATTGCAATTAGGTAGTGGGAGTTATATAGCGCATAATACCAAAGTCTAGCGAAAAGAAAAGAATGAAAATCAAAATTAGGCCGTGAATCAATCCAGCTGCTAAACTAACCCTGTACCAAAAATGGCATATAATAAGCGGTGAAGAGGTCTACTTACAAAGTAAATGACGCTGAAAAACATAGCAGAGCATTGTAAGCAGAGGTACTCAACTATACCTGCCATCACATCTAGATGTGTATAAGAGACAGCATTTTTTAAACTCTCATGTATTTATAGTTCTTCTTCAGTTTTTTGTGAAACTTGTATGATTAAAAATACTCTGTAACAGTTACGTATTTATACTTTATCAAAATGCATTGCCATATTAGTAATTATTAGTGAACGTATCATTTGCTAATAAGTTTTGTAGAGACGAAAATGGCGTATCATGGTCTTGTGACATCACTTCTCGAGGTAAACAATCGATGGTTACAAGCGGCTAAAT